CCTGCCTGCACATGCGCACAAGGTAAATACAACACAGATTGTTTAAGGAAAAAGGAAGCCTGAGGCGCAATGTCTTAGAGTTTCCCTGGCTGCAATGAAACACCATGACCGTGAAGCAGGTTGGGTAGCCAAGGGTTTATGTTACCTACACGTCCAGATGCCGTTCATCACTAAAGGAGTCAGGCAGGATCTCGGAGGCAGTAGCGGATGCAGAGGCCATGGAGGGGAGCTGCTTACTGGCTTGCATTCTCTGACTTGATCAGCCTGCTTCCTTATAGAAGCCAGGACCACCAGCCCAGGGATGGATCCACCCACAGTGGGCTGGGCCCTCCCCCATTGATCACTTCCTCTGATGACTCTAGCTTGTGTCAGGTTGACACACACACCAGCCGGTACGTGCAGTGAATCCTGGATCTTCAAACTGAGCAGTGGATTAAGAGGTGGCTACGGTCTAGTTACCTGTATATGGCCCACTGGTGGGTGTCCTGTGGCCCAGGCTCCCCTTCCTGTTCCTTCTCTCTCCCTCCTTGGAAATGGGGAAACAGAGTCCAGAGTGTAAGAGGGAACCTCCAAGGACCCACCTGTCTCGCTCAACCTGTGCCTCCTCTCCTGGCTTAGCCTTCATCATCAAAGAGCCGTTCCCGAGAGGCTGGGGCAGTGGCTCAGTGGTTCCCAGCTCTTGTGGTAGTAACTCCAACTACAGGGTATCTGATACCCTCTCCTAGCTTCCACAGAAGATATACACACACAAAAATAAAAATGAGCCACTCTGGAAGAAGACACACAGTGGCGGTGGGGGAGGGGGTTGGAGCGGTGTCTCTAGTTCCCACACGTAGGATTCCCAAGAAGCCTCCCTGGAAATGGTGTGGAGTGTAAGCAGGCTGCAGCATGATTCGTGAGGAAGACTTGAGCCCTCTGTCGGGCTCAACACTGACATGGACACGTCAGCAAGGGCCTGGGGGAATAGCCCAGGGGACTCCTCAGAAAAACAGAGCCGAAGCCCCAGAGGTTCCGAGTTGAATTCTCTAGCAACCCATAAGCCCCTGAAACCTACACCCAAGGGAGGAGACCCCTTTTGTCCTCCTGCTTGAGTTTTCTCAACACCAAGTTCCCTCAGAGGGCACCAGCAGTCTCTGGTGTGGTCTCTGTGGATTGAGAAACGCTGCCCAGAAGGCACCAGCTGCCCAGTTTTCAGGGCCCTCTGCAGACGGGAAAGGCAGGCTCCACAGGCACGCACTATGAAATCAGCATGGGAATCAGCACTGGGGCAGGTCCAGTCCAGGACAGGGCTGGCCATGCAGTGTGGGGCAGTGTTAGTGGCCACAGGATCCTGGTTTGGAGGAGCGGGAGGTACAGACTCTACAGAAACCTAGCTCAGACTGTGCCAGAGGAACTAGGTTTGCTGCTGGGATGGCTGTGGAAACTGTCTGAAGGATCTGGAATCACCCGGAAGACAGGGTGAGTTACCTTGACTACTGAGAGGTGACAAGATCTGTCCACTGTGGGCGGCACCATTGCCTGGCTGAGATCCTGGACTATACACGTGGGGAAAGGGAGCTGAACGGCAGCAGTCACTCATCTCTGCTTCCTGGTGTAGGTGTGAAATAACCAGCTGCTTCAACCTCCTGTTGCCTTGACTAGCCCACCATGAAGAACGGTGCCCTGGAACTGTGAGCCAGAACAAATCCTTCCTCCTATGAGTTCCCTTTGCCAGGTTTTTTTATTTTTTTTTAATTTTTTAAAAAATTTTTTATTTTTATATTTTTTTGTCACAGTGACAACGCTAAGACACCTTCGGGCATGGCTGGATGCAGATGTCCTACTGATGTCCTCAGATCTCGTCACTCTGCTCTCGTTTGTGTTAGCTTCACTTTCAGGCAGGTTTTCCCTTGGGTAGTACCCTCCCTCTCCCCCCATCAAGACCAGCTCCAACTGTACCAGGTCTGGACTGCATGTCTGTCTCCATAGTGATGACTCAGGGCCTGTGATTTTGTGTGTGCTGGTCCATAGCAGTCCATCACTGCACTGGGTCCAAATGAGCCACCCACTCAGGAAGGCTCTCAGCAGGAAAGCCCATGTCCTGTTCATACAGAGTTGGCTTACTGAGAGGGCTCAGAGCAGCTAGGTATGGGGGAGGAGGGTCAAGAGACCCAGCCAGTCAGGGTCATCTCCATGCTCCTGGGGCTCTCAAAGAGCTTAGGGAGACCCAGGTGCCTCCGTGAACGGATAGCGTTCTGGTTGCTCCGCCTTGGTCTGCTGGAAGCAGAAGTTTATAGAGGCCACTGCCCATAGCCCAAGAGGAGCTCAAGGTGCAGGGGGCGGAAGGGTAAGAAGACCCCTCCCATGCGCTTGGTATCTCTCTGGGCCTCAGCCTTGGGAGGGAAAAGGAGCTGCTCTCCCAGTCAGTGACTGACTTAGAGATTGTGTATGGGCTGGCTCTAGCCAGCAAAATGGCTGGCAGCCAAAGGACAAGAAACCTAGACTGTTGGGATGGCTGCTCTGCTGATAGGGATGGAGCGGGAAGGGAGAAGAAACAAACCCCAACCGAAACCATCCCTTCCTACCTTTGCCATTCAGTGTCTGAACGACACGTCTAGACGGGGTGGGGGGTGGGGGATGGGGGGATGAGGTGCGGGGTGGAGGCACTACTCTGCCACCGTGACGGGAGGCCTCCTATGCATGGAGTCATATGCTGAGGGTGGTGTGTGGGAACTTCAGGGCGCCAGGGGCCTCAGAAATGCTGCAGAGGAGCTAACTAGCCACCCTGAGGCTGTTTTGGTCAGAGGACTTAAGGACCTCTGAGATTTCCCTTATCTATAGCTGGAGGCTGCCTTCCTGCTGTCTGGTCTGGGGGAGGTCCAGAGCAGCAGAACTGGCAGGATCTGGGAAAGCCCCGGTCTCTCCATCAGTGGCCACACTTGATTTTCAGAGTCAGGAGGCATACTCTCTGGTACACGAGGCAAGTTCATCACCTCCAGGACACAAAAGGAAAACTTTTCCCTCTCAGGGCCTGCTTTAAATAAGTCTAATGCCCACCCGCATGGCCAGACACCAACATTTCTTTTTGCACAGTCAGAAAGAACACGCCCACCTAGCCTGAGTGGGGGATGGGAAGTTCGCAGTGGCTGCGTATTGATGCTGAGCTGACGGTGATGAACAGTGCCCGAGGACGAGAGAGGCTCTGTCTGTGCCAAGCTGAGACCTGATGGCTCACAGCCCATTCTCCCCGCCCCGCCCCGCCTCTGTGCGTGTCTGTTTGCGTGTGCACGCACACACGTGTGTAATACAATAATGTAAATAGAAGAATGAACAATAAGCTTAATATTTATTTTCAACTTTATATTTAATACATTTTAAGTTATATACAAAGAAAACAAATCATCCTCAAACTAAAACAATGACCCCCAAAGAAATCCTCAGCAGCCATCAGGGAGCTTAGCCGGGAGCGGGGAAGCTGACAGGCACCCAGAACCAGGAGGTGGCCCAGCCAGCAGTGGCTGCCGGCTAGTGCATCTCTGGCCGGGGCAGAAGGAAAAGTCAGAGGGGCAGCCCCTTGGGTCAGGGCCAGCGGGTGCCCCCTCTTCCTCCGCTCCCTGGGCAAGTCCACTTTCCTCTAAGATCTCTGGGATTTTGTCCCCGAGCCTGAGACAGAGCAAAGCCCCCAGTAGCAGCTGAGCATCTCAGACAACCTGCTCAGGCCAGCTCTTGGGGAGCCCCTTAAGCTCAGGGAGTTTGGCATGTGGGAGGTTAATTCTCTTATCAAAACTATACAAAAATCCTAATTTTGCAGAGTGGCAATTTGGGGGGAAAAAACCCTCAGCAATGGGAAAATGTTGGCTATGCAGCACAGACATTCAGTTCTCAGGGGATCAATTATAAAAACACTCATTCAGCTATTTCTATTCAAATGAACACCTGAAGAGGAGGCCTCGATGGTTTTAAAAGTGTGTGGATATTACTGGATAAACGTTAGTCCAATAAAAGAGATCATCATCCGCTGCTTGTGTACATTTAAGTTGACACTAAAAAGATCTTTGTGGAGGATCATGCGGCGCCGCCTCCTGCATCTTTTTATCTTTGGCCTTTAACCCTTTAGCAACTGAAGGAAACAAACCCAGTGCAGCCGCCCCTGGGTTCTCTCCTCTCAGCCTCAGGGTGGGCAGCCATGGTCCTTGTGGCTATGGAGCATCCCTCTCAGAGGCTGCCCTCAGCTCCTGTTACGAACATGAAGCCCCTGCTTGAAAACACACAGGGATCTGCATTTGTCCTGTGGTCACAGCCCATGAAGGGTTCTTACTCAGAAATTTGCTTTTCTTTTTTCTTAATGTCTGAAAATATTTCCTGCCTCTTCTCCCTAACATCCACATGTGTGTGTGTGCATGTACATATATGCACACACATGCATGTGGACATGTGCATATAATCACACATGATACACATATGGATATGCACATACATGTTCACATAAGCGCATATACATGACTATGCACCTGTGCTCACATATGACTATGTACACACATGCTCACACATACACATGGACATGTAAATATGCTCACACATATGGATATGCACATATATGCTCACATATGTCCACTTGGATGTACATCCATACTCACACATGCACACACATAACATGGATATGCACACTGTGCTCTCTATGGACATGCAGACATGCTCACACATAACATGGATATGCACACTGTGCTCTCACATAGATATGCATACACAAGCTCACATATGTATATAATATACACACATATACATGTATAGTCATACACATTCATACATGTATGCATAGGCATACATATATGCACATGTATATATACATCTTTCTTCCTTTCTTAAAATAGGCAATAAGGAAACCCACGATCCAGGCAGCCTTGGGACATGGAACAGATTCTAGACAGAGATCCCATGAACCTCTACTCTCAGCACATTTTCTTTTCACCTCCAAGAGGCCTTGGTCCAGAATGAAATGCAGAGTTAAAAGGAGGGAGTGGGGCTGTGTGGCTCAGTTGGTAGAGTGTTTGCCTAACATGCACAAGGCCTGGGTTCAATCTCCAGTACTGCAAAACCAGGTGTGACTGCCCATATCTGCAATCACAGCACCAGGAAGTAGAGGCAGCAGGATCAGAAGTTCACTGTCACCCTCCACTACAAGTTTTGAGGCTAGCCTTATCTTAAAAAATAAAATACAGCCGGGCGGCGGTGGCACACACCTTTAATCCCAGCACTCGGGAGCCAGAGGCAGGCGGATCTTTGTGAGTTCAATACCAGCCTGGTCTACAAGAGCGAGTTCCAGGACAGCCTTCAAAGCCATAGAGAAACCCTGCCCCGAAAACACCAAATGAATGAATGAATAATAAAAAATAGAGAGGACACTGCCCAAGGTCCTATGGTTGTCTGTCAATGTGGGGAGGCAGGGAGCAGGATAGACTCAGGGAGCTATATCTTGGGGGACTAAAAACAAACATCCCACCCTGTAATCCCAACAAGACTGAGACAGGAAGTTCCTGAGTTGGAAGCCAGCCTGGGCTATCCAGGGAGCCCCAGTATAAAATAAGTGACTCCAACCAGTTGCTTTTAAAAACAGAATTCCATAGACTCTAAGTGGTGCACAAGCCCCTGGGTGATCTACTACTCGTGTTTTCTCTGCCCTTGCCCTAAGGTCTGAGGCTGCTGGACCCCGCTCCTACCATGGGGACTTGGCTGTGGGGCCTGAGACTGGGTCAGTGCCCTCCCTCCCCAAGCTAGCAAGGGGAGGCCAGAGGAGATGCTCCGGGTATCCCCTGGTGAGCACAGCTCTTCAGGGCAAGCTGCAATGCCTTGCTAATATCTCTACTTTATTTAGGGATGGGCCACATCTGCTTGTCCCTGGGGCGGAGGAGGGGCACAGTGCCAGTTCCTGGGCTGCAGGGCAGACTTCCTTTGTAGGCTGCTCATTACGCTAGCCACACTAAGCCCCCATTCCAGAGCTAACAGTGACACCTGCAGTTTAACCAGTCACATGTCACATGCAGGACAGTAGCCTAGGAGGTGATAGAGAAGTCTGAGGTCACCTATGGCTTCCTGGAGTCAACCAGAACCTCCTACCATTGGTCCCAGGATGTGAGAGAAGACTAAGATCTTTGGTCTTGCTGCAGAAGCCAGATAGGCCATCACCAGGACACTGGCCGTGTTCAGAGTCTTCAAAAGCGCTGACCTGCACCTGCTGCTATGCCCATGAAGCCACCAAGCTGGGGTTTCCGTTTACAGGGAAGAGCAGAAATCAGATTGCCAGTTACCATGGCAGCAACTGGGACAACCATCACTGGCAGCCTCACCTTCTCCCTGGTCCTCTCTCACTCAGGAGGTTGGGACCACCGTGTCAAACACTGTTTTTACAAACCAGGGGATGAGGAGCACAGGGGAAGCAGTATGGTCAAGGTTGCCCATGGCCATGGTTCCTCAGCCTGACCCCTGCCCTAGCTTTTGACCGTAGAATAGTGTATGAGACTGTAGTGGGTTAATCAGATCTTGACCAGATCTTGTCTACCTTCCTTGCAAGGCACACAGCTTCTCTACAGATTGCTTGATACAGCTTGATACAGTCCTCTGTACACACACACACACACACACACACACACACACACACACACACACACACACACACACACACAGAGCCAACACACCAGAGAAGGCAGCAGGTCAGAGGTGAATTGTTTTCCCCATTCTGGACCAATCACAGCTCCCGAGGTGGGGCTTCGGCAGCCCTGGCTGTTTCTGTCTGTACACTGCCTACAAGCCTGAGAGCCAGGGCACAGGAAAATGAAGTGAGGCAAACATTTCTTTATAATTTTTCTCAATATTCTGCTGATTGCCAGTTCGGTAGCAGATGTGCTATGCTTAATGACGCATAGACAAGAAGCAGCGCCTAATCCCTAAATGAACTTCTTAACGCTAAATATATAAAGGGGAAGCTATATAAACTCAATTTAGCTCTCCGCTCACCAGCTTTCCCATTGAGGAGTGCAAGGAGAGCATGGGTGTCTAGGAGACCCAGTGGCCATGGAGAAATGGAAGAAGCCACGGGCTAGCCCACGCCACGCTGACACACACTCTACCCCACGTTTCCACCATAGCACCTAAAGGGTTGTGTAGTGGCTGCAGAAGCTCAGGCTCACACCTGCTCTTTCCTGGTCTCCCCTCAAGCCCCCACACTGCCCTTTCCTCTCTAACCTCAACTTCCGCACATGTGGGCAAGATCCAGCAAGGCTTGAAAACCAATAGTGAAAAGGGGTTCACAGTGGTGCTAGGCACTCCCTGAGATTTGGGTGCAAGTGGACAGATGTGAGGCTCAAATGCTGGTACACACCAGTGGTGGGCACCCCAGACATCTGGAGCAGAAAGGAAAGGACAGCAGAGAGCGCAGAAGGAATGGCAAGGCCAATGGCTCGGGTCAGGGGTCACTGAGGAGCTGGAAGGCAAGCTGACAGGCCTGAGAGAGGAGATGACCTACACACACACACACACACACACACACACACACACACACACACACACACACAGGCCAATCCAGGACACACACACACACACACACACACACACACACACACACACACACACACACACACACACACACACACACACACACACACACAGGCCAATCCAGGACCTTACCTAGTCATTTTAAATAGCTATGTAGCCCAGGTGGCCTGCTAATCTCATAGGAAATTCAAGGAAGCAGTAAGAGGAATGATGGGAAAGTGAGCACAATCTCTACCCGCTGGAGCCAAGGGCCAGCTTATGCATATGCGATGTGGGCCCACTCACCCTTTTCCATTAGCAGCGTGGAGAAGTCGTGGCCAGGCTGGGGGAAGCTGTATTTCACCTTACGCTGCACACAGCTGGGTTCAGATTGGCACCAGAGCTAATATGCAAATAAGACTGTATCTGTATTCATCAGGATTCTCCAAGAAGCCAGGAGGGACCAGGGTCCTTCTCTTCTAGAACCAGCAAAGCCAGGAATGGGGGACACCAGGGTGTAGTCTGCTGGTGGGCCAGGGCAGATAGGAAAGGGGTCATCACCACTGGGGAGGGAAGACTGGAGTGTTTCTTAGAGTGGTTTCCTAGGACTCTTAGACCCCAAGTGGCTTAGAGCCAGAATGTCTTCCAAGAACCCAACCCCCACCAAAGGGCCTCATTTTATTGATGATAAGACTGAGGCTCCGAGAGAAAAAACTGGCTGGAACCCACACGTTCTAGTTGTGACTTTTTTGTTCCTCTGTGAATACAGATGTCTAATTTCAATTTTACTCCTATAGGTCAAGACCCAGAATATCCTTAAAAGGCTTCTCATATGGAGGTCAAGCTTGTCAACTGAAAAAAGCACGAGGTCTGGCCATGCCTACAGTGCACACAAAGCTATCAAGGGAACCTGGAGACCAATGTGTATTCATGTAGGATGCTCCTCCAGTTGTATGGGAAGGAAAGGCCAATGGCGTGAGCACATGTAGTGTTAGCAGTCCAGACACAGTGATGCACACCTTTAATCCCAGTACTGAGAGGCAGAGGTAGGCAGATCTGTGTGCTCAGGGCCAAGCCGGTTTACACAGAGTTTCAGACCAGCCAGAGCTTTATAGTGAGTCTTTTTTTGTCTTAAAAAAAAAAAAAAATCAGCCGGGCGTTGGTGGCGCACGCCTTTAATCCCAGCACTCGGAAGGCAGAGGCAGGCAGATCTCTGAGTTCGAGGCCAGCCTGGTCTACAGAGCGAGTTGCAGGACAGCCTCCAAGACAATACAGAGAAACCCTGTCTCGAAAAAACAAAACAAGAAGAAAAAAAATCAGCTGAGGCCTGGGGTGACAGAGCACTTACTTGCTGGTACGTGCAAGGCCTTTGAGTTTGAGATAGCTGTGCGGACAGTGGCTGTGGACCACAACAGCAGAACACAAGCTCAGTCTTCCCATCCTGGTATTCAGGAGAGCTCAGCAGCCCCATTGCACCCCTAGAGGGTGACCGTGGTGCACAGACTACACGATGTCCCCTCCCCCTAGTCTAGACTCTTACTCTATTCCTACTTGGTTCTGAGATTCAGGGCTGTGTTCCAGAGATAGACTCCTGTGATAGCCGGATTCCTGACAGATCGGCTTCTGCCTGCAGCCTGCCTTCCTGACTGCCTGTTTGCCTTGAGTCTCTCGGGCAGGAACTCCTTTTTGAGGATCCCAGGTGCTGTGCTGAAGTCAGTCTACTTGCTCCTCAGAAGGGCAGATTGTTAAGGTCAAATCTGAATTTGGTGTCTATCTCCCTTGATCCTCTTAGCAACAAGCTTAAGGAGGTATTAGGGGAGCAGTACCATGTTGGGTTTTGATCAAAATGAGTTACAGATCAACGCTACTTTCCAGAGCCAGCTGTGGGCCAGCCTCTGCTAAGATTCCTTTGGCCATGATTGCAAACTTGCTTTTCTTAGTCAGGAAAGGCCTGGCCAGATGATGATAGACTGGGAGATGGCGAGGAAGTGGTTACTACCGTAGGGAAGGGGTCCACCCCTCAACTCTCTAAGGACCTTCGTGCAGCTGTCAGCTGGGTTTCCTGTTAGGGTCTGTCCAGTAAACAGCAATAACAAGTTTCATGTCAGAACCTTCTCCCCCGAGTGTGAACAGGACCACGGCCTTCTGCTTTGAGGCCCTCAAGCTTCAAGACCCAAGGACTGGTTCTTCAGTGCCTGTCTGCTTAGAAGGGTCACAGGTCTGAATCCTGACTGCTCTGGGCTCCCTTAGGCAGACTCACGGCCTTCTCTGAATCCTTAGGTTCCGAGTAGAGACACCACCCTCATTGGGTTGTTTTGATAAGTAAAAGGGCATTGTTGTGAAATGCTGGGACTGTGCCTGGTATAGCCAGGTACCCTAATTTGTCGCATCACATTTAAGAGTTCCACATCAGTAACTGGCTGTCTTCTAGGAGGTATAGGGCCTTGAAAAAGTATTCTCTCCATCGCCCTTTCGTATCTAAAATGGGAACTGTCTGTTTCCAAGGCTTGGGAGAATGCAGTGAGATCATTTATGCAACACACCAGCAATGTTTAGGACATGAAGT